GATGCAAAGAATATTTTTAACTCAGAAATTTCTTTTTGTATTTTCGCTGCACTGATTTTGCTCACACAAAAAATTTAAAATTCCATATAATGGAAATTGTCTATTGTGATCTCCTCTATCCCTTGTGTAGCTATGAATTCCCTTCACAAATATCTGAAAGACAACACCTTCCGTTATTCTCTGGTTTATGTGTTAATATTGCTGACACTGTGGAAGTTTATTTTGGTATATGGTATAACATGCTCATCCCCATCTATTTCCTGTCTAACCATTTTCCAGTTTTCCTAACAATTCTTGTTTAATTTACCTAATAGCTCGTGATTTTTAATTTATCAAAGTTATTGTATATTTGGCTTGTTTGAAGCTTGCTTGTCTAGTATGCCCCACTATTTCTGTTTTTGTATAGGACTTATGGTTTCATTGGTATAGGGAAGTACTGGAACTCCCAGAGGCTGGCATCTGCCTTGCAATTTGTAGTCTTAGAAAGTTGCCTGGTCTTACTGAGCAGGTAAATGACTTACCCAGGGGCTAGTATGTGACAGGGGCAGAATTTGAAGGTAAGTTTTTCTTTCTCCAAGGTCAGCCACTATACCATTTTGAACTAGTTCCAAATAGTTACTACTTTGTAAATAGTTTAAAATTTTCTCAATCATTCCTACATTTTTATTATTTCATTTGAAATTCTTCATTTTTTTTGTTCCTCTAAGTAAATTGAGATGCTATTTTGTCTACTTCTATGAAGTAATCATCTGAAAGTTTCATGGGTACATTAAATCATAAATTTAATTTAGGCACTGTCATTTTTACTATATTGGCATTGCTCAACTATTAACAATGAATATATTCTTCATTATTTCAATTGTGGCACTTCTCTAAGGAATAATTTGCATTTATAAGTCCTGAGTTTTGGTCCTTGGATATTTTATATTTTTAAAATATTCATCCATTTCATTTATGTTTTCAGTATTGTTGGTATATAATTGTGTACAGCAATTTCTGATAATTTTCTCTATTTCTTCTCTGTTTGCTGTGAATTCTCCCTCCACATTTTGATTTTGGTACTATGATTTTCCATTATTCTCTTTTTAAAAACTAAATAGCAAATGGGTTGTACACTATATTGATCTTTAACAAAACCAAACCCCTCATTTTCACTGATTAGTGTAAAAGGTTTTTTTTAGTTTTGTTCTCAGTGTTTGTTTAACCCCTCTCTGATTTTCAGAATTTCTGTTTCTGGTTTGTTCGAGGATTGCTGACTTTGATTTTCTAGTTTCTGTAGCTGTTTGTTCAAGTTAGTAGCTCACTCTTTTGCAGACATACTTGTTCAGGGATATACACATTTGCCTGAGGACTGCTTTAGTTGTACCATACACGTTTTGAATAGTATTTCACTGTAATAATATTATTTAATGCATTTATTATTTTGTGATTAGCTCTTGACCCATTTATTCTTTAGGATGACAATATTTCATCTCTGTTCAAGTATGGATTCTTGAGTCACGTTTCCTTTATTGTTTACATTTTAATTATATTAAATTTTTGTTTTATTCCTGCCACTGCTAATACTTGCCCTCTGAGATTATCTTCCATTTGCACTAAATATGTCTTGTATGTAAAGGTATTTGCATGTTGTCTCTCTTATTAAAACATGAGCACTTTGAAGGGACACCAAATCTTTTTCTTTCTCTGTATCCTCAATACTTATCACAGTCCCTGGTACACATTAAGTACTTAACATGCCTGTAGACTAATTACATCTATAAAAATGTTTACTATTTCTCTGAATTCATGAGTTATTTATGTCCTTTGCACATGACCAATTTTTCTAAGAACACTTATGTGAAGCTACAAAACAGTTATTTCCCCAAAATAACCATTCAATAATTGCTGAAGATGCATCATATTCAGTTCAAATATTTTCTTCAAATCCTTAATTTCTGTCTTATTTCTCTTTCTGTTCAATTTGTCCAAGTCTGAAGAAATACATTAAAGAACTACTGTTTTACTATTTAGATCATCTTGTAAATAAGTTTGTTTTTCCTCGAATACTTAAAGTACCTTAAGTAGATGGTATGCCATTTGATACATTAATATTGCTACTGATTCATTATCTATGGTACTTTTAGTCATAACATAGCTTCCCTGCTAATTTCTTTTAATCATATTTGTTTGGTTGCTATCTTGTCTAAAATCATCATCACTATTTTCATTTTTTGTGATTCAGCTGAAGCACAATAAATTCTAATCTACCTTATTATCTTAACTGTCAATATATCTTTATATTTTAAGTATGTTTCTTTAACCAACAAATTACTTTCTATTCTGCCCCTTTGACAACCTCTTCTAATTTGTGGGTGAGTTTATCCCATTCTCATTCATGCTTATGAGCATTACATTTGTATTTCCCTTTATCAAATCCTGTTATAATGCTTCCCTATCCACTCCTCCACCATTTCCATAAGAAAAATAATCAAAATTTAAAAAGCTACTGAATTAAGCAACAGGAATCAACAATTATTTTCCTTATAGCAAATCACTCTGTTTTCTCTCCTTTCCTTCTTCTTCCAGCCCATACCCAAATCAATGAGTCTTGCACACTTTCTAATTGTATTCCTTTTTGTAACTACTCTCTGGGTCTATAGTCTGTTTTGCTTGAAGTGATCTTCCTAATTATTCTTTCTCTTTCAAATCCTTGTCTTCCTCCTTCTTGTGTCAGGCAAGTCCTCTCCTCACTTTACTGACTTTATATTAATATGTTTATTTTTAAAAATATACTTTGGCTCAGACAATAAAAAGGTTTATAATATCCTTATTCCCCTGAACTTCTTTTCCTTCAGTAATGTCCATACTACAAGAAATAATAAATTCTTCTCTTCTTTTCCCCTCTCTTTTTCTAAGGGTATTTTTTTCTATCTTCCTTCATTAACTTTTAGAGATGATGGACTATAACAAAAAGACAGTTGCCTCTTCTCCCTCTTTTAAAATATAAGCAATCCATTATTACTTAACCTTTTAGAAATGTGCAAACTTGATGATCTTTCTGAAGTTTCTTTTGCCTACCATGTTGGTCTACGCAGTCCTCAAAAAGTTTCTCTTAGTTGTAGTTTTCCAGCTGTTCTTTGGACTCAATAAATATTTCCCTTCTATCTATCCTTTACTTGAGCTAATCAATCTCCTTAGATCTCAGTGAATGAAAATTCCATTCATAGAAGGGGGTAGAGTGAGGTAGCATAGGTTAATTGTGGATCTGGGTCATAAAAGGAAAGCACAAGTAGAGCACTCAGATTAGATGGAGGTAGGGAACTGTGCTTAGGGTGATTGGGGCTGAGTGGGGATATGAAAGGGCCAGGAAGAAAATTTCCTAATTCTGTAAATCATCCCAAATCCCAAACCATTCCCTATCATTTATCACACGTATAGCCTCAGAGGACATCAATACCTCAACTGAGATTTCAGGATCTGAATATGCTAAAGTCATGCTTTTCCAATCTGATCCAGGCTGCCCAATCCATTTCTCCTCTTAGAGTATTTCCCCATTCTCTCCTTCTCCCTCTGAGAAGTGGAGAATGATGGGAGGAAGAGAAAGGGACAGAAATAAGAAAGTTCGAGAAGAGAAAATGTGTGTCAGCTAAGGGGAGGAAACTGAAGCACCAAGAGGTTAGGTACAGATTCTCACAGCTGTCTGCCACCAGAGAAAAGTGGGGAGAAAGGAGGAGGCATCTGTGGGACTCTGGTCCAGCTTCCTCCAAGTGCCTTGTCTTTGGATTCAGAGATTCCCCTATTCCAGAGAAGCTCAGAGTCCAAGAATCTCAAGGCCATGCTGTATTTCTTCGGCATCAGTATCAACAAAAAGCATTGCATTAAATTACAAAGCCATTCATGAGAATGCTGGCATGTTGTCAGTTCAGATGGCTATTACTCAAAATGAAATCATAATTAGCATTGATTCCGTAATAGGAATGAATCCCAGATTCTCCAGAAGAAGGTCTCACATAAAAAAAAGGTTAAATTACCAGAGGGAAAATATGATCCTGGCTGTTACAGATGGGCTGTATCCTGGTTAAAAGAGAAACAGTCAAGTTCACGTGTGGTTTTATTCCCATGCTCTGAATCAAGTCGCTGTAGGTGTAACAGCAGTAACAAAACAAACCCCCCAAAAGCAGCCGTAGTGATCTGCTTTGAAATCCCTGGCCAGCCATTTTCAGAGTCCCATAAAGTTAAGCAAACAAAAAAGTGAGCCTGAAAAATCTAGGCACTCACCCAAATGAGCAGTTTGCTCCCCAATGCATTACATTTCACGAGAAAAGATGGTGTAGTGGAAAGGCTTACCTCCCGACAGAAAAGTGATGGGCTCAAGATGCAGAATGAGATACACATTTCTGGACACAGCCATTATGGGGATTTGTTTTTTCTTGACTGTGTGTTTGTTACAAGGGCTTTGCTTTTATATTTATTCCCCTCTCCCCATGGGAGGAGGTGGGAGGAAGAAAAGATAAATGCTTGTTAATTGAAAAATATATATAATTTTATAAAAAAGATGAAAGAACTAGACTCGGGGCCAGAAGTTGGAATGTGGACTCTGTCATTCACCAGCTGTGTCAAGGCGCATGTCAGTCTCATTGTTGTTGCCTGTCAAATGGGAACAATCATACTTGCTGGCTAGTGGAAACTCCAGTGAGAAGATTCAAGTTTAAAAGTGATTGCAACCTCTTAGAGCCTCAGTTTTTTTTGCCGGTCAAATGGGAACAATCATAGTTCTACCTAGTAGGAAACTCAAGCAAGAAGATCCAAGCATAAAAGTGACTGTAACTCCACAAGGGTGGGTTGAGCTAAACAGGCTATTTGGATCCTAGGCCTGGGGAGTTCCTCTTAAAGAAGAGGCATCTGTTGTGTTTTCCTGATGCATGCCCAGGTGACAATCCGATAGGAAGGACCACCAACTTGTCCTCACTTTTCCACCTCAACCTTTTCAGAGCAGAGAAGACTACATCTTTACTCACCATTGCCCAGCTCCCAAGAAATGTTGTATTTTTTGCTGGCACTGTATTTAACCAGACCCAGAGCGCTCGAGCTGTTCCAGGAATTGTTAGGATTGCGTCGCAGTGCGTTCAAGGCGAAGATCAGGTGCAGCCCAGAGCAATCAGCGAAGTTATAGAGTTTGTCTAGAGACCTGGCTGGGAAGAAGCAAAGGAAGGCTTGTAATTCTCAAACAAAAATTCCATAAGAGAGGAAGAGGTCAAGGATTTCAAAGAAGGGAGTGGATTCAACTGAGAGGTAATTAGGTGGCACAATGGTTAGAGCTCTCAGCCTGAAAGGAAGACTTGAGTTCAAATCTGAATCCAGATACTTACTAGCTGTGTGACCTTGGTTCATGTCATTATCTGACTCAATTTCTTCAAATGCAAAATGGTAATAATAATAATAGCTATCTTCGAGGGTTGTTGTGAGGATCAAATGAGATAATATTTGTAAAGCACTCAGCACAGTGCCTGGCAAACAAATGATTATTTCCTTCCTTCCTTCCTTCCTTCCTTCCTTCCTTCCTTCCTTCCTTCCTTCCTTCCTTCCTTCCTTCCAACTAGCATTTATTAAAGGCTACCATAATATAGAGGAGCAATAGAGCATAGTGCCTAGAGAAATGGCCTCAGAACCAAGAAGACCTGGGTTCAAGTTATGCCTGTGACAGGCAATGAACATTTATTAAGCAACCATTATATACCAGGCTCTCTGCTAAGTTCTAGGGACACAAAGAAAAGCAAAAGGCACTCTCTGTTTTCAAGGAACTCACAGTTCAATAGAGGAAGACAACATGCAAATAATTACGTACAAACAGCTTTATATAGGATAAACTGGAAATAATCAACAGGGAATTCAACAGAATTAGAGGGGATTGGAAAAAACTTGTCTGTCTTGAGGAAACTCGTTTAACCTCTATCAGACTGTGAGTTGCAGAGAATGTGCTAGTCTGCATTACTAGAGGGAGTTTACTTATCTGGGAGTTCCTATATTAATGAAATCACAGGTCTAATCCCCATCCCTACCCCTATTGTAATACAAGTTTCTGCCTTCTTGAAGCTTGGCTAGTCTGAGTCATGGGTGTAAGGGGTGGAAAAAGTTGGAATTTGATAGTCATTGGTTGAGAGGTGTCCCAGTTTTGTGACACCCACCCCCATCCCAACAATGTGATACAAATATATACAACAATATATATACATATATAAACACAAATATATACAATATAATACTAACACATGACAAATGCATAAAAAAATGGAGAAGAAGGTATTTGGGAAATCAAAGGAAGCTAATAACAGTATCTCTCAAATAGATAGGAGCCCACAGCAAAGTGCTATATGTACAGTGACTTATTTGTGGTTCATAACACCTCTTTAAAACACTAGTGTGACTGTCTCCATTTGAATACTATTTTGCTTTTTCCAATGATGTGTAAATACAATTTTTAACATTCATTTTTTTTTACAAAATTTTGATTTCCAAATTTTCTCCCTCCTTCCTTTCCCTTCCATCTCCCTCAGCTAGTAAGCAATTCAATAGACTGTCTCTATTTTACAGAAAAGGAAATCAAGGCTTAGATTCGTTAAGTGACTTGTTCAAAGTCAAACTAAGTAGCAAGTGGCAGAGCCAGGATTTGACCCAGTCCCTCTGACTTCAAATGCAGAATTCTTTCCACTGTACTGCACTGAGAAAGAGAGTGCAATAATTATTTCTTATTTGTAAAAAAAAAAAGGCACTGTCGGACTGGAGTTGGGAAGTCTAGATTTACAAAAAGAGAACAAGAGAAAGTAAGTTCCTTGAGGGTAGGGGCTATTTCATTTATTTCTCCATATCCTTAGAACCTAGAATAACACTTCACATGCAGTAGGTGCTTAATAAATTTCTGGTGGTTTGACTCAAATACAATTGAATTCTGAGCCACAAAATGCTAAGTAAATGTGAAAAAAAAACTAGTTCACATTTATATGGAACTTTAAAATTAGCATTTTAAGGCAACTGGGGTTAAGTGACTTGCCCAGGGTCACACAGCTAGGGAGTGTTATGTGTCTGAGGCCTGATTTGAACTCAGGTCCTCCTGACTCCAGGGCCAGTCCTCTATCCACTGCACCACCTAGCTGCCTCTGAATTAGCATTTTTTTTTACAACAGTCCTTTAAGGTAGGGAGCAAAAGTATTTATTCCCTGTATTTATCTAGAAGTCTTGAAAAGCAGGACATGTGTTATGATCTAAAAAATAGATACTGAGAAAGAACAACCAGACAAGAGAAAGCAATGCCACAAAACTCCCAGACAGAGTCCCCAAGAGGAGACAGAGATCCAATGTCAAAAGGTACAGGGAGGTCAAAAAGGACGGGGACTGAAAAAGGGGTCAATGAATCTGGCAAGCAAGAGATCACTGGTAGGTTTGGTGAGAACACTTTCACTTGAGTGATGAAGTCCAAGTCATTTGGCCCAAGCAAATTACATTCCCGGGTAGTGTAAGAATAAGAATTTGTTGATCCCATTGCTCAGCCCCTGTTAGTGACCTTTAAAATACTCTGGTGAACAGGAGAGGTATCACTGAACTGGAAAAGAGGGGAGTCATTTTCTTGTCTATAGCCTGGTGGCCTTGGCTTCAACCACGGGCAAAGTTTTAGAACACATTATTAATAAGATGATGTAGGAATATTTAGAAAGGGAAATGGTAATCACTCTGAGCCAGCATGAGTTCATCAAGAATGGGCCATGCTACACTAGCTTTCATTTCTCTTCTATTTCCAATAGATAGATAGGCCTATTTATTGATAGAACAGGGTAATACCATATTGCCCTATGCCATCTATGGCATAGACGCTGTATTGCTTAATTCCAGTCAAGCATTTTACAAAGTCTCTCATGCTATCCTTGGCAACAAGACAGACAGACGTGGACAAGACATGGTACCATTACATAGATGCAATACTGGCTGAAATAACCAGTAGATGGCAATCAATGGATAATTGTCAAATAGGGGGAGGTCACTAGTGCCATGCCCCAGTGATCTTTCCTTAAGTTCTCTAAAGCATTTTTTAAAATCAAGGACTTACATTTAAGTAAAAGCCTGATGCTTAATGAATTCACGGATGACAAAAAGCTGGCGAGCATAGTGAATGTATTAGATCACAGACGGCAACCTGGCAACCTACAGCCTGCAAGCCAAATCTTCCCACTGCCTGTTTTTGTGTGGAGTAGAGCGCTAAGAATGGTTTTTACATTTGCAAATAAAGTTTTATTGTATTTTAAAATGTAAAAACCATTCTTAGCTTGTACAACAACAAGCAGCAGGCTTGAGTTTGCTGACCCCAGGGTTATATGACAATTGAGATAAGAAAAAGTTCTTACTAGTTGGGAATGCTGAGATGAATCTCATATGTTAAATTTAACAGAAATGGATATAAAGTCCTACACTTAAGTTCAAAAAAATCAACTCCAGGGGCTTCCAGGAGGTGCAGTGGATAGAACACTGACCCTGGAGTGAGGAGGATCTGAGTTCAAATTCGGCCTCAGACACAACACACTAGCTGTGGGACCCTGGGTAAGTCACTTAACCTCAATTGCTTCTTTTTGCGACCCCCCCGCCCGTCCAAAATTAATTCCATAAGTACAGAATGGCATGGCAGTGGCTTGATAACAGTTTGTGTCATACAAAGAAAACAACTAAGGGTCTTAGTGGACCCCAACTCAATATGGGTCAACAACGGCAACTAAAACAATTAAAATAAATCTTGGGCTAAATTACTAGCACCCAAAACAGTGTCAGTCCTACCTGACTTGGACCACATCTGGGGCTTTGTACTCAGGTCTAGGAGGGCACAGATAAGCTGGAGGTGGCTGGGATGGCAGAGGGATTCACAACCATGCCATATAAGGACTGGCTGACAGAACTGAGGATGTTTGCCTAAAGTGAAGAAGACTGGGGGCATGGGGACAAGAACTATCTTCAAGTATTTAAAGTATTTAGAAGAGGGATCAGATTTGTTTTGCTCGGTCTGAGAGGGCAGAACTAAAAGCAATATGTGAAATTTGCAGAGAGACAGACAGATTTTGGCTTGGTATAAGCAAAACACTCCCTAACAATGAGAGATATCCAAACGTGAAATGGGTAGCATTGGGAAGAAATGAGTTCCTGATCGTCAGAAGTCTTCGGGCAGAGGCCAGGTGATCACTTGGTGGGGATGTCGTAACTAACAGGCATTCTGCTTCAGGTGTGGGTTGGATGACGTGACTTTGAAGTTGCCTTTCAAGGCTGAGATTCTATGAGTCGATGAATGAATGAATGAATGAAGGAATTAACAAACAAAGAAATGAATGAATTCCTTTATAGTCTATTAGATGGGTCATCCCTGTCCTTAATTAAACAGAACTCTTCAGTGTAGCAGCCATAGACCAACAGGTGCAGCAAAGTAAGCAAATCTGTTCACTCTGTCCCCACACCTGGAACGTTCTCCCTCGTCTCCATCTCCTGGCTTTCCTGGCTTCCTTCAAGATTCGGCTCAAATCCCTTCTCCAAGAGGCCTTTTTCAGGCTTCCCCCACCTCCATTAGTATCTTCCCTCTGAGATTACCCCTCATTTTCCTTGTGTACTATGTAGATCTCATTTGTAAACAGTTGTTTGCATGATGTCTCCCCATTAGACTGTGAGGTCCTTGATAGCAAGGACTTTGTTGCCTTTCTTGTGTCTCCCATACTTAGCGCAGGGCCTGGCATAAAATAGGTGTTTAATAAATGCTTCTCATTGTTGTTGTTGTTGTTGATGATGATGATGATGGTGATGATGATAAGGAGGAATGAGGGGACAGGGAATGTGAGTTGCCACTACTAAAAGCCTGTAGATTTGGCAAGACAGATTGTGCCAGAGAAATGGTCTGATTCCTGGTATTCTGTGTATTTTTGTTGTTGTTCAGTCATTTTTCAGTCATTTCCAACTCTTCATGACCCTATCTGGGGTTTTCTTGACAAAGATGTTGGAGTGGCTTGCCATTTCCTTCTCCAGTTCATTTTACAGATGAGGAAACTGAGGCAAACAGGGTTAAGTGACTTGCCAAGGGTCACACTGCTAGTAATTGTCTGAGGCCAGATTTGAACTCAGGAAGATGAGTCTTCCTGCCTCCAGGCCTGGTGTACTATCCATTGTACTGCCT